TTTGTAATCCATTTTGTAATCCATTTTGTACATGTAGCATGACTGTATGGAAAATACTTATTTCTTGGCTAACAGAAATGTGAGTTTTATTTATTTATTTATTTATTATTATTACTTTTTTTTTTTGTTTTGCCAGGTAGAAAAGTATAAATATGGACCCAAAAAAATGCTCACAAACTTCGAGTGTGTTTGGTATGAATTTTTGAGGGAAGAATTGATTTTTGAATAGTGATATGATGGGAAATGTGTGGTTGAAAAGGAAAAAAAAAAATATTGATGTGATGGAAAATATTATTTTATTGAAAAATATGTGGTTGAAAATGATAATTGATTTACTGTAGAAAATGAGAATCTGTACCAAACAGGCTCTTAATATACTTGCTGTAAACAAGCTGGCTAAGCTGGAAACTTTTTATATTTGTGGTACTCAAGTCTTCAATAGAATTAAAAAGACAATTTTACTCTTTATCTTTAGTTAAAAAGAAAATGAAAAATATAAATATAAAAGGGTAAATTTTTAATTGGGAATCAGGGACGACTATGGAAGATTAGTTGAGCCTTGTTTCTTTCTGTTCGTTATTTATTTATTTTCTGTTTAACTAAACCTAAAGGTAAATTGCTATTTTTCAACAAAATATTGAGTTATAAATTATAAAAACGCAAGTATTAAATTGTCGACGGAGGATTCAAGTATTACAAAAGTGAAAGTTAGAGACCTACTTACTACATTTTGAACAAGTTAGAGACCCGAGCGATAATTACATATATTTTATATTGAATTTTGTGGGGTTATAAAGGTGTAAGTCATATCCCACATGGTAGTTAGACCAAAAGTATGCACAAGGAAGAAAAATGACCCTACATTATTGAGGATGATTTGTGTTGTGGGGCCATGTCCCTCCCAATTTAAGTTTTTTTTTTTGGTTAAGAATTGATGGTTTGGATATGTAGGGCAACCAAAAAAATATATATATAATAGGAAGGATAATGACACTTAAAGAGGGGTATCTAAATTTTTAACATGTAATAATTAAAAAATATATATATACAATATTCTATTTTATCATAATATTGTCGTATCGATTAGATATGTGAATGCTGCGATTTATTAAAAAATTGAACTCAACAGATAATATTGATTTTAATGAGAAGTTACGTCGAGATAACATTATTTTTCAGTGGTCGACAATGGATATATCCAATGTTGTTTTCATTTGATGTTACAAGTAAGGCAATTGACATAATAGCTATCCACTTGGTTATCTTTCTCTGTCTTTTCTATTTTTTTGAAGTGTCGTTTTCACCCAATTAGTGGGAAAATATGTCGACTCTAAAATTTTTGGTATAAAAAAATTGTTTAAATATTAAATATGTACCTATTCTTGTTTTATTTGTAATCATTTTTTCTAATCCAACCCATCCCTTTCCCTCAGCCTACCACTGTCTAGTAATTTGTTGGTCACCAACCTTCAAAAAGAAGTAAGGCCCGGTTTGATTTACCAAATTTTCCATGGAAAATGGAAAATATCACACAATTTTCTAACTTTTGGACTATTTGACAGGCCAAATTTTCCAGGCAATTGTTTTTCCATTTAATCCTCACGTGACCCCTTTTTCCACAGAAATGAGGAATTCATTTTCCCGTAGATTTGACGGTTTTTTGTTTTCTTGGCAATGGGTGAAAAAGGGTGCTGCCATGGGAATCAAGTTGCTGGACAAGAAAAAAGGGGTGGATCATATCAAATCAGTGGAAGAACCAATGGGTCGGGCTCAGATTTAGGGATATACTGGGAGGCTGAGAGGAAGTTGAGGAGGGGAGAGAAGTCGTAGTAAGGGTTTTGGAGGGTAGCGACGTCATACGGGTCGTCCTCTAATTCTTCATATTCTTGGTTGGTGAAATTCTTTTGTTGTGCGATGGTGGAAGAGGCGGATGAATGAGTGGAAAAGAGTGGAGTTCGAAGGAGAAGAAGATGGTTCTGGTGGCGGCGGAGGGAAATCTGGTGCTAAAGAAGATGGTGCTGGTGGCGGCGGGAGGGAAATCTAGTGCTGCTAGTTTTCATACCGGAAGACTAGGCGGCAGTGGTGGAGGAAGGTAGGATTCCAGTAGTGGTGGAGGAAGGTGGAAATAGTGGAGGTGGGACCTCAATGGCAGGATATTGGTAGATTGCAGTAAAAAATGTGGAAAATTAAAGCCAATCAAACATGAAAAGATGAAAATTTTCAACATTTTTCAACTGAAAAATTATACCAATCAAACATACATAATTGACAATTCCCAGTAAAATGATTCCTAGGCAATTCATTTTTTCTGGAATTCATTTTCTTTCTACCAATTTTCCACAAAAGCAATCAAACGCACCCTAAACCACATTGTAACTTTTCATTATAGTCCAATAATAAATCTTCAATGACAAAAATTATATGACTTTCGCATATTTAACTTCACAAGTGATTCTCAATTTGGACTGCTGGTAGAAAAACTTTTGTTGGTTGTTTCCCAACGGAAAGCTAGAAAGCAAGCAAAATTTAATCACCAACGAATAAAGCACTTTCTTTGTTGAAAGTACGTGGTCCCATCTTTTTTGGTTTTTCTCTATGATTCGCCTTTGAACAAGGATTTTTTGCCTTTAGTTTTCTTAAGCGGTAAGTTCAACTCCTCGAAAATTTTGTGTTAGTGTTACCCTGTTTGGTCGGGATTAAATCTGATTTCAATCTAAGTCAAAGTCAAACAATAAATATTAACATTTTTTATGGGTCCCACAACTTTTCAACAACACATTTCAAAAACTTCTATCACAATTTAGATTTTTGAATCCCCACTAAACACCCTCTAAGATTTTTTCGAAGAAATAATGTGCAAGTCTCCTGTTATCTATGCTGCCGTCAATGAAATCAAGAGGCAGAAAGGACCTCTCAATTCATTAAGGGCACCTACATTGACCATTGCTTTGACCTTTCAAATTTGAGTATATAACAGAGCGTTCTCAATTGACGAATAGATGG